CATAACCTATAAATATTAATTAAAGTGGCGGCGGCAGAACATCAAGCTTCTGCTCCTCCTTTCAACTCTTGTGTTCTACTGCTTCTCCTCCCTCTTCCTCTTCTTTCCTCTTACCTTTCTTCTTATTTTCGATCCTGAAATCCATTAGGGTTCAAGACTGATAACAGTCCTGAACTTCTACTAAGAGAGATACCAAAAACTGGTAGGGAAATTGATATATCTGTCTCTCACTCGACCAGATATTGCTTATGCTGTACATGTTGTCAGCCAATTCATGCACTCTCCAAAGATTCCTCATATGAGAGCAGTGGAAAGGATTCTTAAGTATTTGAAGACTTGCCCAGGAAAAGGAATTCTGTTAAAAAAACACAATAAAATTGAAATTGAAGCGTATACTGATGCATATTGGGCCGGTTCTGTTGGAGACAGGAAGTCTACTTCTGGGTATTGCACGTTCGTTGGAGGGAATTTGGTTACATGGCGAAGTAAAAGGCAGAATGTGGTTGCTAGATCAAGTGCAAAGGCTGAATATCGAGCTATGGCTCATGGTGTTGCTGAACTATTGTGGCTTAGGACCCTTCTTGATGAGCTCGGGATAAGGGTCGAGTGTCCTCTTAGGCTGTACTGTGACAACAAGGCTGCCATCAACATTGCAAATAACCCAGTGCAACATGATAGGGCGAAGCATATTAAGATTGACCGACACTTCGTTAGAGAAATGATAGTCTCAGAGGAACTCTGTATTCCTTATACTCCTTTCGAGATGCAGATTGCAGATGTGCTAACAAAAGGACTAGCTTCAATGAAATTCTTAGACTTACTTGGCAAGCTAAACATGACTGACATCCATGCTTAGCTTGAGGGGGAGTGTTGGTTCAATTGGTTTAGTGTTTATGTTAGTCTTATTTATGTTTTAAGTTCTTAGTTATTGGGCCTAAACTTGTTTTATTCTTTTTATGTCTAGGTGTCCCATCACAGGGGCATTCTAGTCCATTCTTGTAACATTACATTGTAAACACCTATATAAGACTCTAGGGCCGGCTGAAGTGACTAAGCCGCCATTCTCAGATCTTTTTCTTCTTCTTCTTCGGTTGCTGTTCTCCAGCAAACAACTAACAAATATGCCAGCCCATTTGCGGATCTCCTTTCCCATCTAATTCTCATTGGTTTATTTGAGGTTAGCTACTTGAATCTTCTTAAAGCCCCCTGGTAGGACCATGCTCACTCCGGTTCTTGCAACCACCTAATAACCAATTTTGAGTGCCCTTAATTAACAAATTTTCAAACCACAACTCTTTGGAGATCTCTACTCCTTACAGAATTACTTGGACTTCCGCGTTAATAAAGTCCCCCACCCCAATAGGACCAGAAAACAAAGCCACAATCTAACCTTCTGCATTTCTGAAGACTCCCCAATGCTTGAAGGCCCTGGATTGCCTAGACTACTTCCATCAAAGTTTAGCTTCATAACATCTTGTTCACAGGGCCTCCACTCCACCATTGGCTTGTCCTTCACCACCAAGCTTTTTGCAACCATCTCCTAATTTCTCCAAATATCATCAAATGAAAAGTGTGAGAAGTTTATTTAATTATGCAGTTATGCACTCCCATATATAAACCTCTTCCCTTCTCAATGGAAATTCTGGCATTTCTTTCCTCCCAAACTGTCCACACCAAAGCAGCCAAGCACATCTCCATAAGACTTTACCTCTTTTCTTTGGCCACCTGAAGGTAGTAAGGTCAAATAAACTGCTAATCTACAACCAAAGAGACCAAAAAGCTTTTCCCAAAGCTCTACAAAAAAGGGCAGGAGATTAGTAAGTGATAACAACTTTCTCCATTTGCTTTGCAAAGGATACACCTATTAGGGGATAAGCTAAGATTGGATCTCCTTTTTTGCTAATTATCCAAGGTGTTTAATTTACCAAGAGAAACTTCCTAACAAAGAGCTCCCACGTTAGGGGGGATGGGCCTGGACCACAATTCCTTACTATGGAAAGGTTGGAGGTTAGTAATCAAGCACAAACAAGAAAAAATAGAAGAACAACAAAATAAACTCAATGGGTTGGGGGTTCGAATATGAGTACCAGAATTAGAAGGGTCAAAACAAACAACATCAAGGGTTTTGAGGAGCAAGGCAGCTTGGTCAATTCAAAGTCTCTCTAGTCTCTCCTAAAACCCAAAACCCAAATTCCAACTAAGGCCATGAGATTGGGAAAAGGAAGCAAACCTTTGGATAGGTTTTTTTTTTGAACAAAGATGGGGAATACAAGGAAGGAAATAGGTCCTTGAGGATAGAGTTTCCAATCCAGACATCTTCCCAAAAAAGAACCCTATCTCCAGTATAAACATCATACCTGATTAAGCTTGAGAATTGCAGAAAGATGCTATGTATAGCCTTCCATGGAGAGTTTAAAATAGCCCACTGAGATACACCCACATCACAACCATTGCTTGCCCCTCCATGAATCCTTTCTACAACTTTGTGCCAGAGCCTCTCCCTTTCCAAAGGCCATCTCCACAACCACTTGCCCAATAGAGCTGTATTCTGTATTCTTCTTCCCTATATTACCTAAACCCAACCTACCTTGCTCCTTCCTCTTACACATTAAATCCCACCTAACCAAATGATCCTTTCTTCCTTCACCAGCTTCCCACCTAACCAAATTATCTTCCATAATTCTCAAGTTATTGGTGTAAATATGAGATTGCATCATACAAACCATAAAAATCTAGGAAAATTTAAATTATGCCACAAAATATAAATTTTAAAAGAAAGCAAGTTCTCTGAACTTTCCAACCGAAATGATTTATAACATCAGAAGGGAACTGAATAAATCAGAACTAACTTGTCGTGAGTAATGCTCAGCATCTCTTTTCATTCCTGCCATTTCCACCCTCATTTTTTGCACTTCAGCCTGTCAAAACCAACAGTGGAGATCCTAAATAATGAGCTTAATTGGCTTTTGTAAATACTAGTGTAAAGTTAAGAATTCTGATAAGAAAACAGTGGAACAAACCAAACAGAATTAGTTATTAATTTAACAGAAACTAACTTATTGTTAAATATTTGTTCCCTTGGACTTGGGAATAATACATGTAAAGTCCACAAGAATGATATGATGACACTCAATTTTGATTCTGTTCATCAAATTAAAGAAAACAATATACTAGATAACAACCAAAAGACACTTGCCTCTAAAGAATAAAGCTTGGACTCTGCATCTCTTTGACCTTGGCGTGCCCGCTCCATTTCCTCTTGCCATGCCTGCATCTTGAAGATTGAACAATTGGTGTAAGCAATAGGATATGGGATTCTAAAGCTATTATAATGAAGAAAATTAAGGTTTCCTTCAAACTAGTGGGGCAGTTTTAGTCAGTATTACATACATGCTTATATATTGCAGGAATAGATAACTAGAAGGTGCTAGACATGTAAGCATTTCTTTCTTCCTTATCTCTTTTTCTTGTGAGTAGAGAAAGGATGAAAAAAGAGATGAGACAGATTTTTTTTTGGAAGGGGGAGGGGGAATATGACATAAAAATGTCCATAGAAACCTAGCATCCTCTTGAACAAAGGGAGGTTGCTGCCCCATTATTAGGGGTACCTGTTACCCAGCCAACCAACCTTTCTTAATTAACCCAATGAGTTACGCAACCCATATTTGATTCACTATGTGAAACCAACTTGGGCAGGCCAAGTGGATTGGGTTGAAAATTGCCACCACAGAACTTAGCCAATAAGGGGCCATTTATTTACAGCTGAAGTGGCTGAACTGAATGACTTGTTTTGTATTTTGATGGAAAAAATGTTAAAAATAATAAAAATATTTGAGGATTTAGTAATTAACTCAAGTTCAGCTTCAACCATTAAGGAGCTCACAACTTCGTTAAAAAACTTATTCTGTTATTCACTAAAAGACAAAGCAACACAGCAGTTATCAAATGACCCAGAGAACAAAGCAGAAAGTAATAGACTCAAAAATACGCTTCAAAAAGTCTACCTTTCAAAAAGCAAAAAAAAAAAAAAAGTTTGAAGGCCAATGCATAATGTGATTAATGCACCAAATAGTAGTTGAAGCATGTAGAACTTATAAGTATCCTCAACCAAATTTGACAGCATAATCCATAACAGTAGCAGCCAACTTGATGAGATGAAGATGGGTTATATAACAAATAGCAACATCTGAGATAAATTGGCCCAAGTGACCTCAAATTAGGCAGCTCATACCCACCCTAGTTTCACTTAAAGATTTAGCCATGTTTAAACACCAGGACCCAGGAAGAATGTATTTACCTAGGCTACTATGGCACAGTCTATGTATTTGCCTAGACTATAATTACCCAGGAAGAATGATATGACAAATATTGAAGATTTTTTTTGCTCTGGTTGATTCCTCAATCTCCAATTACCATCAAGAAATGACTGCTTAGTATATTTGATAATACTCTCTATTATATGAGAAACATGAACATTTTGGAATATGCAACTATTCCTCTTCCTCTAGATATCATAGCAGAGGCACAAAATGATATACTAAGAACCTGGTTCTTGATCTAAGAACCAACAAGGTGGCTAATGCTTCTCCTAAATCAAGAGTGTTTGGAAACAGCCAACCACACCCTAGACGTGTAAAATTTTCTAACTAGAAGGCTGTCTTCCTGGAAATTGGAAGGTATGAAAGGAAAAATGCTCCAAGAAGATGATATGAATTTCAAAAATTCACTTTGAACAAAAAACTAGAAGGTAGAAACAAAAATTCTGCAGAATAATATGTGGACACACATACACACGCTAAAGGTAAAAATACATTAAAAAAGTAGAAATCTGCTGAATTAAAGAATATAAAAGAAAAGTAGTTTCTTGAAGAGAGAAGGAGAAGAAGAGAAGTTGAAAAGAAAAGAGAGCAATAATCT